AAACTGACGTAAATCTCCTTTTTTTCTTCGTCATTTCCAAGCAGTAGATCGTCAAAAATAATTTGAAATACTAGATAATTTGAATTAAGACCGACACTGATCTCGATATCCAACATTTTGGTGGATCAGCGCGTGTGACACAAGAAGCCGACAACGTACTTGCTATACAGAGAAGGCGTGATGATCGTGATCGTAGCAAGTTTAGAAAGTTCCTTTACGTAAGTTAAAACTTCATTTTTCTACTTCCAACATGACTGCCAATGCTAGTGTAAAAAGGGTGAAAGAGGTGGAACGTCAGATGAACCGCAACGCGACTGCAACGCGACCGCAGCGCGACCGCAGCTCGTTGAACTTGCAGTTAGCGCATATAAAGATCAAGGGACTTAACAAAAGTATTTGGGCGAAAAAAACACAAAAGTTTTTCAAACTGAAGCGTATGCCCTTCTATAGCCAATGACACTCTGAGACACATTGGCTTATGTCGTGGAGCTTCTATCGGGTAACACATACAGTTTTTTTCCGAGAATCTACTTAAACATCGTAATCTCAGTTCATATAGCGACTATTCTACTGTAATCTGTATTACAATACTTCAATAGTAAACCTTTTTGAATTATATATGCACAAAAACTATGGAAAAGCAGAATTTTAACAAATTGCCTGAAATAGCCGCAATCTTTGTAAATAAAAATCGATTAAATAAGAATTGATAAGAAAAATAGTACTCGTTACTTGTTCATTACCCAACGCTTTTTCCAGATCCTAAAAAACCGATATGGAGGACACAAAGTAGAGACGGACCAACTCGAGATGCTGTTCCAACCTGGCACCTACTCGCATACCATAGTGGATCACTCTCTCAAGCTGTAACTATGTTCCCCACAGTCGCATACTATGCAACCAGTTCCTCCAGTGATTGAAAAACTTTAAAATTTCTTAAATAAATAATGTACTATATTTTGCTTATAGATTCTGCTTGTCATGCATTGTTGGTCGCGTCCTCAAATATATACAAAGTCATCATATTTGTCTGAATTGTTTATTCGTTTTTTTTTTCATCTATGACGTGTTGTGTAAGCTTTGTTCGCAATGATCTGATCTGACATTTCAAAAGGGAATCGTCAAAAAACTGCCATTAGGTGGATATTACATACGTATTTTTGCGATGTCGCGTGTTGTATCCATTAAGTTTCATAAACGTTTTGTCATTATCGTCCACTACACCTCAGTTTTCAACAAATGTGTCAGATAAGAATGACAGTGACGTAGATTGAAGCGAGTCTTTAAATTCTCAAAGAACTAGAGGTCTGCCAGTACGCCATAAACAAGTATTAACTGTTTTTCTCACAGCCTAAGTCTTTAATAATAATATCTGACTGAAAATCGATAATAGGGCCCCTCAGGAATAACTT